ATTTGTATATATATATATATATATAATTTATATTGTAAAAACTGTTACCCACTTTATAGTATCATTTTTCGATTAATTTTTAAAAGGAAGCTCTATCTTTCAAGAAATTTTAACAGCAAGATTTGCAGTTATTTATTTTTTATTTTTTCAGAATACTAAGCATATTTTAATGAAAGTATAATCTAAAAATATTACATCCAAAATTCGTGAAACAAACATAATATTATACTTTTATTTTTATTTTATTCATTCTTAATATTAATTCATTTAATTCATATTATTAAATGATACGAATATTTTGTTAATAAACTTTCAAATAATTGTTTACCTTTTGTTATGTTCAAAATATTGTTTACTTTATGTTCAAAGTTATTGAAAATTAACATCTTTTTACAATTTGAGATTATAACTAACTCATAAATTTCTAAATTTATTACGCTTAACCTAAATACATCAGTTCTATCATGTGATACCTATATATATATATGCATGCATTTATGCATATATATGTGCATATATATATATTTATATTTATTTCTATATTTCATGTATAGCACTTGTGATGTAATCTAAAATGATAAGAATTAATTCGAATACATAAAAAAGACAAAAAATGACGACACTTTCAAGTACTTTCGAAGTTTCTATAAATCATGCGATAGATTTTAAAAAACCTAATCTTCGTGTATAATACGATTATTATAAAATTTTCGGAAATTGTTATGATAAAATGATAAAATCATGACGAAGAAGGAAACATTGATTATTAAGTTGTTACATTTTTTTTCTATATTAGACATATTGATAATCTAAAATGTGTTTTATTTACATTCTATCCTAATTCCTAATCCTTGCAAACAATTATTAATTATTAATTATTTGGTAAAGTATATTTGATAGAAACGTGATTTTCGAAAAATTTCAATTTTAACAAGGGGCGTAGAGAATAAAATAAATTTTGGTAATCACTAATCTAAATATTAACTTTTAAATGATGTAACAAATTGATAAAAAAAAAAAAAAAATATCAAATTAAACGTAGTAACGGTTTCGAAGATATGAAAGGGTTAAAGTTTAAATACGTAAGCAATTCGTAAATCCCCCCAAAACGTAACAGTTAAATAATTACGTAAATAAACGTATTGAAAAAATAATTGAAAATCAAAAATTACAACCACACAAAAATTAACAGTACTTAATCAATTAGTACTTTGATATGTGTAGTATAAAAATGAATGATATATTTAAAAAATAAAATAAATAGATAAAAAAATTATTAAGTAAATAAAAAGAAGTAATTCAACAATTCTTACGATTGTAAATGACATAAAAATATTAGACATTATCACAAAAAAGAAAAAAAAAGAAATATAAAAAATGGAAAAAGATAATAGTAGCCTCTTAAAATGATAAAACCTATTATTTCGCAAGATGAAGAATTCGTAAGCTTGTAGAGGAAAATTACGTGACACCTAATAATTATATATTACGTCGTTCATAAAAAATATAATGAATCGCATATTGAATTTCAAATTATTGAACAAAAAGTTCTAATTACAAATTCTCGTGTTTGTTAGTTTCTCTGATTCTATTTTTTTATTTTTTTATTTTTTTCTTTTTTTCTTTTTTTTCAAGAAATATTGCAAATTGTGCTTAGAATAATCGTGCAAAGTATCGATAGATACATCGTCACTACTTAATTCAATGTAATATATATATATATATACATGCATATACTTTTTAATTAATTTATTTATTTATTTCTATAATTATATAATGATATTATATATATGCTATTATAACTTTTTCTAATATTATAAAAGATATATAATATAATATTAATTTTATATATATATTATATTTTATTTTATTATATATTTTTATTATATAGTATATATTATATATATTATATTATTATATATATTTTATATAATATTATTTTTATATTATTATTTTATTATTGTTATTATTATNTTATTATATATATTTTATATAATATTATTTTTATATTATTATTTTATTATTGTTATTATTATTATTATTATTATTATTATTATTATTATTATTATTATATTTTATATATTATTATTTTTATATTATTAATATTATTTTAATATTATTATAATATTATTATATATATATATAATAACAATAATAATAATAATAAATTTAAATAATATATAATTATATATATTATTTAATTATAATTATATTATATATAAAATTATATATTTTATAATTTATATATATATAAAATACAATAATAATTATAATAATTATATCTACAAAACTATTTATTATTAAAATTATTTATTCACTTTGAAATAATAGTAAAGTAAAATCAAAAATTAAAATAAGGCGTTAAAAAGGACAAGAAAAGAAAAAGAAAAAAAAAAACAAAGAAATATATTTAAGAAAAAAGTTGAAATAATTTACTTCTCAAAATTAACTTCAACTCAAAAACAAACAATTTATTTAATGATAAAAAATTTTTAAAAATTACAAAAAAAAAAAGAATAAAAGCTGAGAAAAATAAATTCATTTGAAAATTTGTTTTTTTTTGTTTTTTTTTCTTTTTTTCAAATACATTATAATCATTAATAGTTTTACACGAATGATATTAATTCTACTCATTGTTCTAATGTATTTAAACAATTCTTTTTCGTCAGTAAACAACTCGATTCCAATTAATAAAAAGCTTTACGGTTAACTTTAATTATTCTTTAGTTAAGCTTATAAAGATCGTCATCAAGATGATCATACAACTTAAGTAATGGAATTGTACCCTGTGAGTCAGCAAAAAACTAAACACGTGATTGTCCAGCACACGTATAAATGTTTTATATATGGATTGTATATTTTATTTGTATTACATAATATATATATATATTACATAATCTATCGGATAATTCAATAACTATTATATTACCACCTTAAATGTCTAATGACAGTGGATTATTTAAAAAATTGAAAAAAAAAAATTGATTCTATAATTGGTTTTATAATATTAGGTCATCCCAAAAGTTTCACTTTTTGTTTTAGTAATTCTACGGACATAATAATTTTTAAATTGAATAATTTACAGTATAGAAAAAAGTAAAATAGAACAGAATCGCTATTATTATTTAGTAAAATAACGTAAAATACAAATAAAAAAAAAGGTATATTACCCATACAATATTGTTTAACTTATCACTAAAAAATGGAAGGAATTTATGGAACGACATAATATCAATTATTTAAAAAAAATTTTTTTCACAACCAATTGACTGTAATTATCAGTACAGATAATTTCATTCTTTTGTATTTTGTATGAATACATTTTTTCTTTTTCATTTTTGATAAAAAAAAAAAAAGGTATTAGCATACAAAGTCAAAAAGTTATTAGTTGACGAGGTAGTTTTAAAACAAAGAATGTTTTGTAATTAACGTAATAGAAACGAAAGAGAGAGAAAGAGGGAAAGTAAGAGAGAGAGAGAGAATCATATTTTTATCATTTTTTTAAGTTAAACAAATTATTTTAAAGTAGAATGTAATCAGTTAAAAAGTAAAATTTTTAATGATAATACTTTTTCTCCCACTGATAAATGAACTTGCAATTTTTTTTTTTTTTGGTAAAGAAATAAATAATGAAAAAATTTGAAATTAGAATTGTCAGTAAATCATTTAGAATATTTATAGATTATATAATATATATATATATATATATATATATATATATATATATA